TCTTTCACTTTTCTTCATTTCTTAAATAGTCTAATGCCGCTGTTCGGAGACGATGTGCTGCTTGTAGAGCAGTGATAATGCGATTGGCTTGGTACTAAGCATTATTTGTTTACTCAGCATTGTTGTTCCACAACAATACCGTGTATAAACAAATATAAGGTGATATTGTTGATGACATCATTTTTTGACGACGACGACTAATCCTTTCGGAGCGCTTCCTGTAATCTGATATTTTACTTCTTTACGTCGCTGATCAGAGGCCAACAGTTCTTGGTTAGTCAACTATCTATGTTTAACCCCACCCTTGCAAGTCTTCTTTTTTCCTCCTCTGTTTTTTGTTGAATAGTTCTGATGTTTTAGTTCTTTATGTCGCTGTTCAGAGGCCAAGTGTTCTTGGTCAGTCAAATGCTTCTTCTATCACTGCATCTCTATAGTTACCTGTATTTCATTATGTTCAAATTGCATAATGAACCGCACTATATAAGAACTAAATGTATAAAAAAGACAAGCTATTTCACAGTACCGACACTGTCTTTCCAAAAACCTTCCTGCATACTGAATGACAAATTAACTGTGACTCAATCTGTCTTCAAACTGTTTAAAGTAAAATTCCCTGGGTTGCTAAAACATTTTTATTTACCATTAAAATATTATACCTTATCAAGAATTATAATCGTGTGTTAACAACAATAAACATTCTATTACAAAACAAATCTGAACTGGAAAACAATACAAGATGACTGGATCAAGCAGTGCTTAGAACAAGCAAGCAGGCCTATGTAATTCTCATTGCCCCTTTATGTCCTACATTTAGACCCCATTTATGTGAAAACAACATTTAAAAAAACAAAGAACTTTTGATGGGTTGTTGGTTGACTGACCTGTAACTATTTTTACACTACACCAAAATACCAAGATCTCAACCAGTTGCTTACCAGTTATGGTTGCCAACATCTACAGTCCTGATAAGATGAAGGCTATTTAGCACCACAAATATTTGGTTTCTTCTCATTTATTATTTTGATGGCAAAGTATTCATGCTTATGTTTACAGACAGTGCAGTCAACATAATGATACAGTTATGTATCTGAGATTTCTCTACAAAAGGAAAAGTAATATTAATTACAGATATGAAATGGATAAGTGTAACTTGTCACATAGCTTTTTTGCTTTTTTTTGTGTCGACACTTATCTTGATAAAATAATTTGTATATGTAAATAAAGTACTCAGGAAAATATTTGTGCATGAAGATGAAGTTAGCAACTTTAGATATTTCATAATGAGTAACTGTCATTTATACAAGTCACTTAGCTACATGTAAATGAGGAGTTCCTGTGACAATGAACATAAGCCAAAACATTTTCTTCAGTCATTATGTTCCACCTACCAGTAAGATGGCAGTAATACTTAAAAAAATACAATACAGCAGATCTACAGAAAGAGATAATCTCTGATTCTGGTGACACAAATGCAATTGTGTTATTCAGAATTTTCTACATAAGACAATCGGTGAGTTCTCGTGTAAAAAGGCTTAATATAATGAGTTATTTTCTTTATTCAATATATTAAAAGAAAGCAGCTCATACCATACCTTGGGCAGGATATTAAGTGAACCTGTTAATACAAGTATGTTGATGAAATTTTATGTAATAATGGAAATATGAGGATTCATCTTCCACACACATATATCACAGCATCACCTTAACCTACAATCCAAACTATTATCCATTATAGTTCAACTTTAAAGGAATAACAACTAATTAGTTGATAAAACACTAACATGTGAATTATTGTTAAAAGTATAGCAACACTTGACTTCACACTCCAACATCCTCAACATATTTTTAATTACTTTGCTGCAAATGTTAATACTATACAACATATAACATAACATCAAGTTCTCTTCTTGCATAAATCAGTGCAATCTGAAAGCTTATTAATACTTGATCTTCTTAACCCTTTAAAGCACACCTGCTTTAATAATCAGTGATTGTATTTTGTATTTATGGGTTTGGTATGTTTCTCAGTGTAAACAGGGATTATTCCCTTTAAGAGTATTAGCCAGTTGGTATTTGTAATGGTGTTTTCTCTGCGGTACGGACTGGATTCTTAAACAAAATTTAGATGAGCTTCAAAGGGTTGAGGATATAATACTAACCAGTTTCATCAATGTTTTTCAAACACAACATAGCACAGTGGAATAACAGATTACAGATTGCTGCAAGTTACACATTTAGTAACATCACAAACAAAGGTATCACTTCTGTGAAGTCCCATATTTTCATTCATCTCAAAAACATAATTTCTGGACTTAATAGGTCTTCCACATAAGCCCACATAGTATTTATTCTACTTAATAATCTATTTCTATACATAACTTTCACTAGTACAGACTGTTAAATTTGTCAGATATACCCAGAGCTCTGTACAATTATTATATTAGTAACTGTTTGAATGTAAGCAATATTTCATACAGAATTTGTACCTGTGTTTATAATCAATCATCTTACAAAATTCCACCTACCTAGTTCCAGTGGTTTATTGGTTAGCACCATCAAAGGAAAGATAACAGTATATTTCACATGACCACCATTTTGTTGTTTTAGAGTCTATAAAAGAAACTATCTCAACAAAAGCTGTATGACCTATTACTATACAAAATTTCAGAACCCTGCATTAAAATGTATTAGCGTCACTCCCACATCACAAGTTTAGAGGACTGACATGTTAGTAGTAATGCCAGTAAGAAATTACAAAGCCTAGTGTAATTAATTTAAAGATGATTCATGCCAAATTTCATCTACAAACTATTTCAAAAGTTATTAGGGGTGCCACACATGGATGGATGTACAAATCAAATTATACCATAAACCCATCTTTCCTTACAGAACAAGGGAGGTAAGCTGTAAATGGTCTTTTCAACATTCTACATTAGTTCTAGCACAGGCTGAATCTATTTTTAATTTAATGCTCAATACTGCCATCAGTGGCCGTGCGGTCTGAGGCGTGGGCCTTGGTCGCTGGGATCGTGGTTTTCAATCCCACTCAAGCCATGGATATTTGTCTGTGTTTTTCTGTGTTGTGCTGTCCTGTGTACAGGTAGAGGTCTTGCGATTGGCACATCCCTCGTCCAAGGAGTCCTACCGAATGTCTAGAGATCAAAGCTAATGAAAAAGTTGGGACCCGCAGTGCTCAGGCACTTGAAGAACAGGTCTTCAAAGTATCAAAGTAAAAGTAAAGTACTGCAATCAGTAGCAGACAATTTCTTAAAAGACCACGAAGAAATTCCAACACATGACAGACTCATATTTGATTATGAGTATCTATCTCAATTTTACAGAATATATGCTACAGAGTTCATGCGCAGACATTTCCAGTGAATAAGATGTTATCCCACAAACTATCGAAATGTTTAATTTTTATTCTGAAGTCAATTTTCAATACCTTACACTGTATCAAACAGTTATGAATCCTTACCAAGACTTGACAGATCATTAAGAAAAATGTTATATTTACAGTATGTTTCTCTGCAGATGTTTTTCATGTAAGTTCACTCATACTATGGAGTTAATTACAGAGTTATATTAAAATATTAAACAATGAACAGTATAATTTGAGACATTTGTAACCACCTCTCGAAGTGATCTGTTTCAGATATAATGTTATATACATTAAGCATTAAACTAGTCTCTCCTCCCTGTAATATGATGTGATAATGTATAGCAAATTAAAAAAATATGGAAAGATATATTTTAAAAATATGTTTGTATAGTCTAAGATTTGTGATCAATTCTATGTGTTCTATGTTTCACTTAAAAGAATATCACTATTATACTCCACATCTGTTATTGTCATCTCTCATCTGTTGCATATTTTAAAGCACATACCCTGAATACTAAAAGTGATCAACACTTCACAAGAAACTGTGCAGTAGGCTATATAAATCAGCATTATCACTATGTCATGTTGCAACTTGCCTCTCTTACCTAAATAATGAGATTATTATCACAGGCTGGTTCCCAATCAATGGATGTCATAACATCCTCAGGATGCATGGATCAGGGGCTGTATGGTGGAGGAGGAGGAATGCTCTCAAGAGGGGTGTCCAAACTCCTCAGACTGCCTCCCATAACAGAGAATGTCTCAACACCATCCCAGTCGTCCATAAGACGGCGCCGATGTATGTCCTCAATGGGAGAATGATTTTGCAGCAGATTGCTAGCTGTTGCACAAACAGCAACTGCACCTGAACAAGAAGAAGAAACGTACATAGCTCAACTTACTTAGTTTTGCAAGTTTTATGCATACTCAGTATGTTATGGGTTTTAAAAAACAGAATCTTTCCATACTTTTGGAAGAGGTAATATACATCTCTGCCATTTACCAATCTACCATCTATATCTTCAGCGTGTACATAAGGCAGTTATTATTTATAATTATACTTAAGAAAATGGAAGAAGTTTTTTTTCAGTTTGGGATTAAATCAAGGTGAAATAAAAATATGTCAAACAAGTTATCTCCAAGATAAAAAAAATTCTCCTACAGGTCAGTAAAGAAGTTGGCTTAGAAGTGAATAATGCAGATAAAAATAATTATATATAAATGGCATGAAATCAAAACCAGCACACAAAAAAACCCTCATAATATGTGACAGATCATTTTAAAATGATTAAGCCCAAAAAGATATCAACAAACAGAACTGACGTTCAGGTAAAATTAGGTGAATAAATAAAGTTGGAAAACTCATAATGATGTCTCGTTTCCAAAACATCAGACATAAAAGAAACATGAATAAAACAATCATTTTGACAGAAGAACATGTATAACATGTTTCAAAACTGTTCAAGAAAATATTTTGATCCAAAAAAAGATGACAATGTGGGAACTGAGGATTTTATAGGACCTCTGCATATTTTAAGTTTTTCAAGGGGCATCCTCTGCACCCCCTTACCCTCAAGCTATGCTTCTATATTTTGCATGTCTTTAAAATAAGTGCCAGGATGGTGTCTTAACCCTAAAAAAATGCAAATTATTCCTACCTGCTGCAGTAATTGTGTAGCAACCATACTCATAATAAACCTTTATTCCAGACACTTCAAGAAGTCTCGTGATATCATAACAAACCCCAATGATGGCTACCACCCACAGAACTGAAAAAAAAATTCAATCAGGAACAGCACTTTAACCCTAGGACGCTTACTCATTTTGTCAGTACCACAGTCTTAGATCGGGGATTATCAATGTGTGTGGACTGTGGCTTGCATGTGGATGTCATCTGTGTGGCCCACGTAACTTTTGAAACATCAACATTTTCACCACAAAGAGATGAGAACTTCAGATCTTAGATCTTGTAAGAAAAATAAAGATTCTTCCATTCAAAATACAATGCCTGTTCACTGCCTCCCTGTTCATATTGTGATGATGACATTTAATAAAAAAAATGTTAGGATATGAGCTACTCAAAAAAGAGATTGTTACATATATACAGGGATGGCTCCTGGTTTATTATTAGCCTAACTTACCTGTAAATATACTTGGTATTGAATTCCTCTGGATAACTTTCATGAATTTTTTTGTAGGACCAACAATATCCAAGAAAAATCCCACAAGGGAAGAAATCATTGCCATGAAGCATAATATAATTATCACATGCATCAAGTCGGCAATTTCAGGCGTGACACACCGAAGAGCTGAAAATGTAATAAAGAGTTCAGTGAACTCTGAGTAAATTAACCATATACATTCCTATTATTTTAAGGTGGTCTGTAACTTGAATGAGGGAAGAACAAAGATAAAGTGAAATGGGAGACAGTGGAAGGCGGGTATCAGACAGGTAGCAACAATACATCTGGAAAATATAAACTTTTGTCATGACTTGAGACTGGCCACAATGTTAATTGTTTTCTTATTGACAGCAAAAACAACTGGTGTTTTCATGCTTGATAGTATCACAATGCAAAACTTCCCAAATTCACCAACTCTCCTTCACACGCAGCAATCAGCAAACTGAACCACTCATACAATTACAGGAAGGTTATTATATGTATGTGGACTTGACTGAGTTTTTTGTGGAACTAAAAACTCAGTGGTCTCAATAAAATAACAGGACTTTAAATTTAATAACTGTAAACTATGTAATGATGTGCTGGAGAGATAAACTGAACTGAGCATATGAAGCTGGTTTGTGGTGATTTGTTTGGTGCTGGACAAACCACTTAACCCAAGCATAATGCATATAACAAAACTTACTTCCACTCGGTGAATGGTATTGGATTGACATTGGGGATGAAACCACTTCTCTTGCACGGAACTGCAAATCTGTTTGCCTTGCTCCAGTATCAAAATATCCAAAGCTAAAGAACTGGTAGACAGCCAGATGTGTTGTACACTGACCACCTTTCAAATGGAACCACCCCAGCTGAGCCAAGGATGTACATGTCAATGCTATTGTTGCCATGTGAAAAAATGCAGCTACAAAGTTACGTTCTTGCTCCTTGGGGACATGCCAACGTTGACGAGGGTAATAAGTAGGGTTATACATCATCTGTAATTTTCTGAAACATAACCGATATACGAATCGGTGTGTTGTACTATCTCAATGAGACAACCTCACAACACCAGACACATACCACAGTACAGTATTCGATTGTGTAGTTAATAGAGCACTTCAACAATAATGTTACCGACACATAAACAAATGAAGAGTTAATCACCTGAATAACAACACATATGAAGATACTGAAACACACCTATTATTATAACATTTATTTTCCTTGGTAAAGTATGTCAATTCATAAGAAATGAAATGATCGGTTCATTCATGATTAACAGCGTTTAAGTAAGCATTATGAAGATTCAGTATTGTTAAGAGTACCTTAATAAAGCTCATTCGAAGTATCAACACAAATTCCACTCAACACAAATTAACAAAATTCCAATTCAGACCTCCCTAGCTAACCATATTCACAGTCAATAATGCCAACCACGTAATCAGAAAATCAGCTAATGTCTGGCGATGGCGGACTTAAACCCCAATACATCGTCTTTGACATCACTGTGAGACTCTCAAAACTCAGATAAATGACTGCAAATCGGGAGACTTATGTACTATAAGATTCTTACACAAAATATTTATAACCCTTTTAACATATTTAATGATGTAATGATGGTAATGTCTATCTATCTATCGCATCTTTAAATAGAAGAATCCATGTAGCCTCGGTGGCCTTGCGAAGTCTGCTAAAAGGCACTATTATCCAGAGGACAGCCGTCTTCTAATTACATACTGTTTCGATCATGTATTAACTTCAGATACCGAATTTTCACTACCTCCATCATGTCTGCACTGCATTATTAACGAAATCACCCGACATCTATTTCTACACTACTGCGGAAACTTAAACTCTAAATAATAGTCTTTGGTATTTTGTGCAGAAAATTTGACACAAAAGCGTTTATGCATATGGGGCCTTAAAGGCTTCCTTATTGAAACATGTGATGGGTCTAGAGTTCACAGTTGTTAATAAAATATTAATAACAATAACTTTATTACTTTATGTACAATAATCGCATAGCTAAATTAATTCTTAAAAAATAGTCTTTATATATCTGTGGCGATGTATAACACAGATATATATATATATATGGACGTACGAGTATACAAAGTTGGTAAGACGTGTCCGATGATTGGTGCCATAGTTGAAGCATGGCACGGCTAGACTCAATAATACAGGGAAGCTAACCTAGATGGTAGGTTGTGGATTGTCAGGATATACTCAGGCACGAAGTTCGTAAAAATTAATCTTATGTGGTGTGTTCTGTGTATTCGTTTGTTACAAAATGAAGTACCATAACTCATTCACAGTCGTTTTCCATTGAACTTTCTTTGCAGATAGTTCCATAATTAAATAGAGAAGAATGGTTCACAGTAGATCACCTTCACCTGCATCAAGGCGTCGACGTAGCAAATCACGCGAAAGGGAAACAAGAGACCGTGATCGTGATCGTGACAGACGTAGGAGACGATCAGGGGAGAGGAATAGGAGGAGGAGGTAACTGATTTTTGGATGAAATTAATTAACTTCTTCATGCAGCTCATGGGCTGCTGGTTGAGAAGTCCTGGCCCAAAGTATAAGAATCCTTTCCATTCTGACATTTCCAAATGTAAACAATACAAACATCACACCTGAATAAAGTTGTAGTTTGTATTGTTATTTTTGAAAAAGGATTCTCAACCTTTCAAGACCTGGAGCCACATTCCTATCAGTTTGCAGAATGCTATTTTCTTAAGTATGCTACACTGTCCCAAACAGGTTCTCATTTTCTTCAACACTTATGTGGATGCCATTTTTATTACTAATTCACATAACATTAAACATTTAATAGGCACATATGATCTGAAGAATGAGTGCAGTGCATAAAACATCAGCAGGTCACATGTGGCCTGGATGTTGGGAATACTTGAAGAGTAATTCATTAATAAGTGTGAGAAAATAAACGTATGATACAGACTGTAGTAGTATTTACATTAAATTCATTAATAAGTGTGAGAAAATAAATGTATGATACAGACTGTAGTAGTATTAACATTTTTAAAAATTGTGATATTTCAACAAATTCAGGCTGCTTGTTTGTTCCCTCTCATGAATGTGCATCTGCTACCATATCATCTCCTTTGTAGTGGGGAATAAAGGACACATTTGTCACTTGCCTTCAGACACTACTGCTGCCATTTGGATGAAATCACTTCTCTCTACTAGTTTATACTTGATACATTCTTGCCCTGCCTTCATAGAACAGTTGGAGAAAGTATTTTTAATACAGCTCTCTTGGAATGCAGGCACCGCCGATCTCGGTCGTGGTCACGTTCTCGATCACGTTCAGACTCTAGAGGCAAGGAGAAGAGTTCCAAATCAAAGGTTCAGCTTGCAGAAAGGCCTCCTATCACTGGTATGTGAATTATATTATTAATTTTAAAATGAGCAACAATAATGCTTATTGTCCTATAAAGCTTACTTTTGATGGATATAAAAAAAATTGTTTTCCTTTACATTTTCACAAATGCTAGATAATTTGTTGCAATAAATTTGCCAGTTATTTAAACAGCACTGTTGTGCTTACGTGATAAATGTGAAGTACAACACTTGGCACAAAAGAACAAGAATCTGCCAGCACCAACTTGGAGATTTGTATTATCATAACAATAGAGACCTTTTGCAGGTTTGCTGATTTAACCTGCCAAGAGTGTAGCAGATACTAATCTAAAGAGCCTGTAAATAATGGATCTAACATCTTCACAACACAAAGTTATACATATCACTAATTTATAGAGCCATGGTGCTTTTAGTATGCCATGAAAACATTAGTCTTGGGTTTAGATGGAGGCAGTGGTCAGCTTCACACACCATCTGTTTTAACTTGAAGGATAGGTGAGGTAGGGAGGGGATGGGTTCCAGAGCATCTGGACCTTGTTGCAAAGTGAAATATTTCTACCTTTACATAGTTTTGGAAAATCCACATGGAAATGAGAAATATTAGCTCACCCAACAATTTCTATGGCCTGTGTTCAAGTAAGTATTAAGCAAAGTCTGTAAAGTATTTTGTGTACCACATCAACAAAACTTGAGTGGTGGTGTAAGTTTTCAGTCTGGCATTATTGGAACTACAAAATATGTTGGTCAGCTGTTATTTAACATTTGTTAGCCGTATAGTTTACATTGTATTTATGAAGTTCATATTTATGCCTGCCTACTTTTATTCTAGACGCAGATTTAGAAGGAAAGAGTCCTGATGAACAGGAGATGATGAAGCTCATGGGTTTTTGTGCTTTTGATACTACAAAGGGAAAGAAAGTATCTGGAAATGAGGTTGGCACAGTTCATGTCATTCTGAAGCGCAAGTACCGTCAATACATGAATCGGAAAGGTGGTTTCAATAGACCGCTGGACTTCGTGGCTTAAAATACAATTCATGACACATCTTACTCAAACATGCTGTGCTGCCCAAGACTGGAGATGGATGCGGACAGTTCTAAATACTGAACCACTGACGTTCTGTGTAAATAAGCGGAGGAAGATCCAGCATGTTTCTGGAGAACTGAACATATAATGTTAAGTCTAATTACATAATATCCAACTTTGGGTTCCAGTTTATTACTTTCGTGTAGCATTTCATCTGTTAATATTGTATCATTTCCTTTACAGGTAGAAATTAAATAATTATTTTTGTTTCAAAACAGCATTACAGTGAATGTACAATACAAAAAGAATGAAGCCAGAATTTCTTCAGAATATAATGTTCAAAATAAAAAATATACACAAGCCTTTCTTTACTATAATCATTACATATTGTTCCCTCCTATTTCAATCTTGTTGATAACACTACAAATCACAAACATAGTATAACTTTTTCTATCTCACACAAGAATGGATAGGGTTGATTAATTTGAAATGTTTTCTGTGTTGCCATGCCACCATTTCCTGACATTGAAAACCATGGATACAATTAATATTCATACAAAATGTACAGGTGATTTATACTTTAAAATTTCTACAGAGAACTATTATCTGAAATGATGTGATGCAGTGGTCTGTGAAGAGAGTGGGTGAGTGAATCTAAAAAGCAAGCAGTGACTGGAATCTCTCACCACAAATGACAATGCCAAAGTCATGTTAAAATAGAAACAAACATGAGTACTGGCATCCTTGCATACTCGATTAAATCGGGAAAAAATTAACATATAATACAGGCATCTAAAACTCTCACCACATATATTGAAAACATTTCTAAAAAATAAACTATAGATCAACTTTTAAATTACATAATATCAAAAATTAAAACACGGTTGTCACATATACTTCCATCACGTAGTTTATACAAAATGACTGAATTAAATCCAATTAAAAACAGTAACTGTGGAAGTTGTTAAAATTATACCTATATGAAAATTAATATTCTCAACTGGGTTTTAAATGCCAATCTCTCCCAAATGTTTTCTACCCAGTTTCATATGACACATTCTCACTCCACCTGTCCAACAAACCTCATAAGATTTTTTTTACAAGTCTGTTCTTCCAAAGAGCAAAGTTTCATTCTTCCTTAAACATTTTTTAAATCTAAAGTTTTGCTACTTACACTATGGATCTAAGAAAACTGCTGCTCCATAAAAGATACCATGAACACTGACTGCTTACTTGGCAACATAAAGGGATGGCTGTACCAGTAGTATTGCAAAAGAGCAAATATATAGAACCATCAGCAGCAAGTACGCTGACACAGGCATAAATTCACTGAGTAGTCCGATGGACTTTGTGCCCACAGTTTTTCTGCACCGATATCGAAAGCCCACAATAGAAAAAAAAAGGAGCACTACTTAATTTTAAGCTCCCACTTATAACGCTAGAAAGATAACACCCCCAATTATTTGTGCACCAGAGAATAATTAAAACTACATTTGTTCCTCAAGCATATTGCCGTGTCAATAATCACGTCCTTCACACCAGCAAACTGCGGAAACCATCCAAGCACGATAGGTAACATCTGAAATGCTACTGTCCTACTTTTGCTGTCAGAAAATGTAATAAAAAGAATTGTAGGTTTAAATTCATGTACACATAGTAATAACTGTAAGTTGGAAACATTTTTTTAGTTTCTTATTAATCACCACCTTTCTGGCATTTTGCACATACTTTTTTCTTCATCTTCACATTCTTGGTCTGTACAAAGCTATATTATTATATATCTACTGTTTAAAAATAAAAACAATTTAAGAAGCAGCAAGTAATAATTCATATAGCACTGACAGAAGCTTGCTGTCTCACTGTGCCCATACTGCAGCAGACAGACATGAACGTTACAGATGTGTGCATATGGCACAACAGCAATGCACATCACATACCAGCTTGTTTCTTCCAACTAAATGCTAAGATGTGTCAGGTGGCAGTATTTAATTCTTCTGAAAGATTGTGGGAGGTGGTCACTTCAATTTTTTCCATGTTTCATTTCACCTGGCAGTGCCTGAAATAGAACAAAATTGGTACTGTGTACAAAGCACTCAAGGCAATATTAGTTTTAAGAATCTCCATAAACTCATTAAAAAATTTTCCATTTCATGGAGTATTTTGAAAACATCACTGCCATCACTATGATGAGACATATTTCAGCAAGACAAAGCTCTGTTACTGCCAGATGATCAGTTTTACTTAATTATGATTCTTGTCATTGTTTCATCAGTGCAGTTAATAAAATCATAACGATGGGGGACGGCCGAGTATGACAGATATTTAACACATCACAAATTACTTATTACCTTCTGTATCACTGCAGTTATTTGATACTGTAACAAAATTCACAAACTATACAATACTCGCTACATATTGTGGTCTTCTGGTTCTGACATCATGTACGTAGTCTTGATGGCTACCAATGTTTGAGAGGAAATTTTTTAGTCACATCCATGAAAATGGAGGCAGCATGTTCCTCTAAAATGTTTGTAACCACAAAAGGACATGGTGTCACAACTGAGAAGACTTAAATCTGAATTCTTACCACAGTAAAAACCTCAAATCTCATACTCACTTTATAGTTTTACTGCCTATGCTTCGGCTATCTTCTTCTTCTCCTTTTTCTTCTTGAGGAAGGACGGTGTTCTTAGTCCTTTCTTCTTTTTCTTGTCCTTTTTTGGTGACTCCTCAGTAGACATGTCTTTAGTGGGTGAACCCTGCCACAGTAACACACAAATATGAAGAACTTCAAATAACCCATACCACTTAACACAAACCAAACCAAAATTAGAACCTTCCTTGTTTCTGAAGCTCTGTTCCAAATGATGGTGTTACAGCACTAATCAAGTCAAATGTTTTGAATTAGCAAGACAGTACTGCATTCATAATGCAATTGGGAATGCCATACAGGAACACAATTCATTTACATCACATATCTAAATAACATGACATTTCAGTAGCACCTTCACAAGAACATTTCAGCAACAGTAAAGACCCTTTACTTAGTAAATTGCATGCTGAGTCAAACTATTTTAAAATTCAAATAAACCGGATTTGTACAATTTCCACATTAAAAAGTAAGATTAATTTCTCTAAGTTGGTGCCACCTCACCTCTTTGCTGCTCTGTGAGAATGTGCTGTGGGGTGCATCAGGATCATCACCATTCATTGTATTTTCCCCTGAAACACAGAACCTTCACTGTAAAGTGCAAACTTTGTTGGGAACAAATGCCTCCAGCCCTACTGTGTTGATATCACAAGCTTCTACGATCTGGCTGCATTAATATGCACATCTGTTGAAATAATCTACTGTGAATTGTGGAAAGCGTATAACAAAAGAAACTGAAGTTTTACATCATGCATAAAAATCCAAGTCTTATTCACTACATAGTTACAGGAGTGTGACACAGTTCCTGTCTGTCTACAGTTCATGTACCTACTTTATTGTTGAAGTTTATTTATTTTCTGACTGCATGCTACAATCACTACCTCCATCATGTCTACACTGCATTATTAACGAAATCACCCGACATCTATTTCTACACTACTGCGGAAACTTAAACTCTAAATAATAGTCTTTGGTATTTTGTGCAGAAAATTTGACACAAAAGCGTTTATGCATATGGGGCCTTAAAGGCTTCCTTATTGAAACATGTGATGGGTCTAGAGTTCACAGTTGTTAATAAAATATTAATAACAATAACTTTATTACTTTATGTACAATAATCGCATAGCTAAATTAATTCTTGAAAAATAGTCTTTACATATCTGTGGCGATGTATAACACAGATATATATATGGACGTACGAGTATACAAAGTTGGTAAGACGTGTCCGATGATTGGTGCCATAGTTGAAGCATGGCACGGCTAGACTCAATAATACAGGGAAGCTAACCTAGATGGTAGGTTGTGGATTGTCAGGATATACTCAGGCACGAAGTTCGTAAAAATTAATCTTATGTGGTGTGTTCTGTGTATTCGTTTGTTACAAAATGAAGTACCATAACTCATTCACAGTCGTTTTCCATTGAACTTTCTTTGCAGATAGTTCCATAATTAAATAGAGAAGAATGGTGCACAGTAGATCACCTTCACCTGCATCAAGGCGTCGACGTAGCAAATCACGCGAAAGGGAAACAAGAGACCGTGATCGTGATCGTGACAGACGTAGGAGACGATCAGGGGAGAGGAATAGGAGGAGGAGGTAACTGATTTTTGGATGAAATTAATTAACTTCTTCATGCAGCTCATGGGCTGCTGGTTGAGAAGTCCTGGCCCAAAGTATAAGAATCCTTTCCATTCTGACATTTCCAAATGTAAACAATACAAACATCACACCTGAATAAAGTTGTAGTTTGTATTGTTATTTTTGAAAAAGGATTCTCAACCTTTCAAGACCTGGAGCCACATTCCTATCAGTTTGCAGAATGCTATTTTCTTAAGTATGCTACACTGTCCCAAACAGGTTCTCATTTTCTTCAACACTTATGTGGATGCCATTTTTATTACTAATTCACATAACATTAAACATTTAATAGGCACATATGATCTGAAGAATGAGTGCAGTGCATAAAACATCAGCAGGTCACATGTGGCCTGGATGTTGGGAATACTTGAAGAGTAATTCATTAATAAGTGTGAGAAAATAAATGTATGATACAGACTGTAGTAGTATTAACATTTTTAAAAATTGTGATATTTCAACAAATTCAGGCTGCTTGTTTGTTCCCTCTCATGAATGTGCATCTGCTACCATATCATCTCCTTTGTAGTGGGGAATAAAGGACACATTTGTCACTTGCCTTCAGACACTACTGCTGCCATTTGGATGAAATCACTTCTCTCTACTAGTTTATACTTGATACATTCTTGCCCTGCCTTCATAGAACAGTTGGAGAAAGTATTTTTAATACAGCTCTCTTGGAATGCAGGCACCGCCGATCTCGGTCGTGGTCACGTTCTCGATCACGTTCAGACTCTAGAGGCAAGGAGAAGAGTTCCAAATCAAAGGTTCAGCTTGCAGAAAGGCCTCCTATCACTGGTATGTGAATTATATTATTAATTTTAAAATGAGCAACAATAATGCTTATTGTCCTATAAAGCTTACTTTTGATGGATATAAAAAAAATTGTTTTCCTTTACATTTTCACAAATGCTAGATAATTTGTTGCAATAAATTTGCCAGTTATTTAAACAGCACTGTTGTGCTTACGTGATAAATGTGAAGTACAACACTTGGCACAAAAGAACAAGAATCTGCCAGCACCAACTTGGAGATTTGTATTATCATAACAATAGAGACCTTTTGCAGGTTTGCTGATTTAACCTGCCAAGAGTGTAGCAGATACTAATCTAAAGAGCCTGTAAATAATGGATCTAACATCTTCACAACACAAAGTTATACATATCACTAATTTATAGAGCCATGGTGCTTTTAGTATGCCATGAAAACATTAGTCTTGGGTTTAGATGGAGGCAGTGGTCAGCTTCACACACCATCTGTTTTAACTTGAAGGATAGGTGAGGTAGGGAGGGGATGGGTTCCAGAGCATCTGGACCTTGTTGCAAAGTGAAATATTTCTACCTTTACATAGTTTTGGAAAATCCACATGGAAATGAGAAATATTAGCTCACCCAACAATTTCTATGGCCTGTGTTCAAGTAAGTATTAAGCAAAGTCTGTAAAGTATTTTGTGTACCACATCAACAAAACTTGAGTGGTGGTGTAAGTTTTCAGTCTGGCATTATTGGAACTACAAAATATGTTGGTCAGCTGTTATTTAACATTTGTTAGCCGTATAGTTTACATTGTATTTATGAAGTTCATATTTATGCCTGCCTACTTTTATTCTAGACGCAGATTTAGAAGGAAAGAGTCCTGATGAACAGGAGATGATGAAGCTCATGGGTTTTTGTGCTTTTGATACTACAAAGGGAAAGAAAGTATCTGGAAATGAGGTTGGCACAGTTCATGTCATTCTGAAGCGCAAGTACCGTCAATACATGAATCGGAAAGGTGGTTTCAATAGACCGCTGGACTTCGTGGCTTAAAATACAATTCATGACACATCTTACTCAAACATGCTGTGCTGCCCAAGACTGGAGATGGATGCGGACAGTTCTAAATACTGAACCACTGACGTTCTGTGTAAATAAGCGGAGGAAGATCCAGCATGTTTCTGGAGAACTGAACATATAATGTTAAGTCTAATTACATAATATCCAACTTTGGGTTCCAGTTTATTACTTTCGTGTAGCATTTCATCTGTTAATATTGTATCATTTCCTTTACAGGTAGAAATTAAATAATTATTTTTGTTTCAAAACAGCATTACAGTGAATGTACAATACAAAAAGAATGAAGCCAGAATTTCTTCAGAATATAATGTTCAAAATAAAAAATATACACAAGCCTTTCTTTACTATAATCATTACATATTGTTCCCTCCTATTTCAATCTTGTTGATAACACTACAAATCACAAACATAGTATAACTTTTTCTATCTCACACAAGAATGGATAGGGTTGATTAATTTGAAATGTTTTCTGTGTTGCCATGCCACCATTTCCTGACATTGAAAACCATGGATACAATTAATATTCATACAAAATGTACAGGTGATTTATACTTTAAAATTTCTACAGAGAACTATTATCTGAAATGATGTGATGCAGTGGTCTGTGAAGAGAGTGGGTGAGTGAATCTAAAAAGCAAGCAGTGACTGGAATCTCTCACCACAAATGACAATGCCAAAGTCATGTTAAAATAGAAACAAACATGAGTACTGGCATCCTTGCATACTCGATTAAATCGGGAAAAAATTAACATATAATACAGGCATCTAAAACTCTCACCACATATATTGAAAACATTTCTAAAAAATAAACTATAGATCAACTTTTAAATTACATAATATCAAAAATTAAAACACGGTTGTCACATATACTTCCATCACGTAGTTTATACAAAATGACTGAATTAAATCCAATTAAAAACAGTAACTGTGGAAGTTGTTAAAATTATACCTATATGAAAATTAATATTCTCAACTGGGTTTTAAATGCCAATCTCTCCCAAATGTTTTCTACCCAGTTTCATATGACACATTCTCACTCCACCTGTCCAACAAACCTCATAAGATTTTTTTTACAAGTCTGTTCTTCCAAAGAGCAAAGTTTCATTCTTCCTTAAACATTTTTTAAATCTAAAGTTTTGCTACTTACACTATGGATCTAAGAAAACTGCTGCTCCATAAAAGATACCATGAACACTGACTGCTTACTTGGCAACATAAAGGGATGGCTGTACCAGTAGTATTGCAAAAGAGCAAATATATAGAACCATCAGCAGCAAGTACGCTGACACAGGCATAAATTCACTGAGTAGTCCGATGGACTTTGTGCCCACAGTTTTTCTGCACCGATATCGAAAGCCCACAATAGAAAAAAAAAGGAGCACTACTTAATTTTAAGCTCCCACTTATAACGCTAGAAAGATAACACCCCCAATTATTTGTGCACCAGAGAATAATTAAAACTACATTTGTTCCTCAAGCATATTGCCGTGTCAATAATCACGTCCTTCACACCAGCAAACTGCGGAAACCATCCAAGCACGATAGGTAACATCTGAAATGCTACTGTCCTACTTTTGCTGTCAGAAAATGTAATAAAAAGAATTGTAGGTTTAAATTCATGTACACATAGTAATAACTGTAAGTTGGAAACATTTTTTTAGTTTCTTATTAATCACCACCTTTCTGGCATTTTGCACATACTTTTTTCTTCATCTTCACATTCTTGGTCTGTACAAAGCTATATTATTATATATCTACTGTTTAAAAATAAAAACAATTTAAGAAGCAGCAAGTAATAATTCATATAGCACTGACAGAAGCTTGCTGTCTCACTGTGCCCATACTGCAGCAGACAGACATGAACGTTACAGATGTGTGCATATGGCACAACAGCAATGCACATCACATACCAGCTTGTTTCTTCCAACTAAATGCTAAGATGTGTCAGGTGGCAGTATTTAATTCTTCTGAAAGATTGTGGGAGGTGGTCACTTCAATTTTTTCCATGTTTCATTTCACCTGGCAGTGCCTGAAATAGAACAAAATTGGTACTGTGTACAAAGCACTCAAGGCAATATTAGTTTTAAGAATCTCCATAAACTCATTAAAAAATTTTCCATTTCATGGAGTATTTTGAAAACATCACTGCCATCACTATGATGAGACATATTTCAGCAAGACAAAGCTCTGTTACTGCCAGATGATCAGTTTTACTTAATTATGATTCTTGTCATTGTTTCATCAGTGCAGTTAATAAAATCATAACGATGGGGGACGGCCGAGTATGACAGATATTTAACACATCACAAATTACTTATTACCTTCTGTATCACTGCAGTTATTTGATACTGTAACAAAATTCACAAACTATACAATACTCGCTACATATTGTGGTCTTCTGGTTCTGACATCATGTACGTAGTCTTGATGGCTACCAATGTTTGAGAGGAAATTTTTTAGTCACATCCATGAAAATGGAGGCAGCATGTTCCTCTAAAATGTTTGTAACCACAAAAGGACATGGTGTCACAACTGAGAAGACTTAAATCTGAATTCTTACCACAGTAAAAACCTCAAATCTCATACTCACTTTATAGTTTTACTGCCTATGCTTCGGCTATCTTCTTCTTCTCCTTTTTCTTCTTGAGGAAGGACGGTGTTCTTAGTCCTTTCTTCTTTTTCTTGTCCTTTTTTGGTGACTCCTCAGTAGACATGTCTTTAGTGGGTGAACCCTGCCACAGTAACACACAAATATGAAGAACTTCAAATAACCCATACCACTTAACACAAACCAAACCAAAATTAGAACCTTCCTTGTTTCTGAAGCTCTGTTCCAAATAATGGTGTTACAGCACTAATCAAGACAAATGTTTTGAATTAGCAAGACAGTACTGCATTCATAATGCAATTGGGAATGCCATACAGGAACACAATTCATTTACATCACATATCTAAATAACATGACATTTCAGTAGCACCTTCACAAGAACATTTCAGCAACAGTAAAGACCCTTTACTTAGTAAATTGCATGCTGAGTCAAACTATTTTAAAATTCAAATAAACCGGATTTGTACAATTTCCACATTAAAAAGTAAGATTAATTTCTCTAAGTTGGTGCCACCTCACCTCTTTGCTGCTCTGTGAGAATGTGCTGTGGGGTGCATCAGGATCATCACCATTCATTGTATTTTCCCCTGAAACACAGAACCTTCACTGTAAAGTGCAAACTTTGTTGGGAACAAATGCCTCCAGCCCTACTGTGTTGATATCACAAGCTTCTACGATCTAGCTGCATTAATATGCACATCTGTTGAAATAATCTACTGTGAATTGTGGAAAGCGTATAACAAAAGAAACTGAAGTTTTACATCATGCATAAAAATCCAAGTCTTATTCACTACATAGTTACAGGAGTGTGACACAGTTCCTGTCTGTCTACAGTTCATGTACCTACTTTATTGTTGAAGTTTATTTATTTTCTGACTGCATGCTACAATGCATTGCTCAACAACACATGGCTACCTTACACTTACTTTGCAATTAGAAATTCAATCTTTAGTGCTGAAGCTTAAATAAAAAATTAAAATAGGACTACGATAGTTTCGAAATTTTATGAGGATAAGAACAAGGATATAACGAAGGGCCTCTGAATTAAGACTGGAATGAAAGAAGCCCATGACATGACCAAGAACATGATAGTTCTGCCAGGCACTAGAAGACATCAAGAAGGGAGGGAAAAGCTGGCAAAAAATCAAAAAGGAAGGACTGCTGGAAGATGGACGAAACTAGAGACCTTTTGTCCATGCTAGAAGAAGACAAAATTTACTTTCCACAGGTAATAACAAGGTTACAAACAAGTGCAGTATAAACACAAAAGTATGCGTAATTAAACTTGCAATTAATTCTAAAGGGTTCTGGTGACAGTATATTACAATTAGATTTACTAGACTGTTGGACTTCAACCATCATCTAGTTTATTAGACAGTTAGCTTCAATCACCCAACTGAATAGGCACTCCCCATATTTTCACCAGAGGATGGAAACAAATAGTTTCCAACATACTGGGTTCCATTCAAAATACTGGATGACAGACAGACCAGAAACCCAGTAATACTATAAAACCTCTAATGCTGGTCAAAAGAATTGATAAAAAACAAAAGAAACAATTGAAGCTGCTTTTAATAAGATAAAATGCAATAAAATATAAATTGGGCAACAGTGGTTACGAAATGTATTTTAAAATTCAAGTTTTTGGATTTAATACAAATTTAAAGCAATAATAATTCTAGCTGGCAAGACAAAATACTGTTATTTTTATGGAGGTCTGTAAATTGAAAGGATAGACTTCTGGAAGTTTCGATGAGAAGGAAAGAAACAAACACATCAAAGTTCTTTCTGTCAACTGAAATACTGCTGCAACATGGTTTATTTAGAATTAAACATTCTCACATTCACCATTTGTATCATTATGTTGAATACTATGCACATTGTATGGTATTCAACATAATGATACAAATGCTTATGTTGAATACCATGCACATTGAAACATTTATCATCCACATTACCATTGCCAAAACTACTTGGAAGATGGGTTAACATAGGGACTCTCAACTCATGGCCCATAGGCCACATGCAGCACTTAAATGTATCTTTTCAATAAATTGGCTTCATTTATAGGCTGTCAACAAGCCAAGATGAAGGGGTAAATGTCACCCCAGGTTTTAATAGATTGCCAGGGGTTCTCTAATCCTATCACCATTTCCATTTCATTCTTTAGGTATAAAAGTTGAAAACAGTGGTACGCCATGATGATAAATGACCATTGTTTGTTCCATTTTGGAAGACAATTAGTAGGAAGATACTCCGTCCTCAGCAAAATTGAGATTAGCCAGCCTTAAAACAAAACTGTACTTGCTGTACCAAAGGAAACTAACAGACATGACATCATGCAAAACATTTAACGCAGGCAAATCACTGCTAAGTAACAAATTAACACTCAATTCAATGTAGTTTCTACAACTTATAAAAGAACATAAGATTCAAATCTGACATTTGAGTAATATGGGTAAATTTAGTTCACAAACGTTTTAGATTTTCATCAAACTATATTAAGCCAGGGTATGATGGTGTGTATGAACAGATAGGATGGACAGAAAGACAAAATTCTGTGAAACAAAGCAAATTAACATGAACACTGAATTATATAAACTTGAACAGAGAATCTGATATTTGAGGGTCTCACATTGGCAAATATGCTAAATGTCATCTACAGAGTTATATAACCCTGTGTGATTTTGGTGGTTACTAACTTTGCAGAGGAACATATAGCCTCTGGAGTATCTTTGTAACACTGGTAACCAACTACATGCACACATGATGCCACAACCTTAAGACTACAATTGCCTTAAATACATAAAAATTAGTTCTTCCTAAACCCAGGTAATTTTCTTGTAAGAGTCTTTAGGGTGGCTTTGGATGGCATGCAAGTCTCTGTAATATGGGAAATATGGAACTGGATGGAGTTGGGTATGTTATATGTGCCTTTGCCAAATATCATTCCCCAAGGACCACTCAGCCTGTACACAGTAGGGCCACCATCTGAAAGACATCAAATGCTAAGCCGGGTATCCAAACATTCACATAGCACATGCTGTGAGGCAGTGGACAATGTGTGAAAATGTATTTCAGATTCTTTATTAATGGCATGCAGAAGAAAACTATTTCCTAGAATTCCCAGTTGCAGTGATATAACAGATCAAGTACAACTTCTCCATAAAATATCTGTGCAGAATATTAGAACTTCAACAGCATAACTAGTATTAAGTTTTGCATACTTTTATTCAAATTAACAGTTCCCGAAAATCTTTCAAACTTAAATACTTCAGCACAATTAAAAACAGTTGTTAAATTCCCCAAGATAAATGGTTTTATGCGAATGACTTAAAATGATGCGTTGCCCCATTTGGGTTATAATTTTCCTGTAAGATTTTAAATTTAATGTAATTCAAATACAATGCCAGTGAGTGTTTGTTTAATTATGGCCACATTTTAAGTTTAATCTTGCTACAATTAGTGAAGACATTTTACTTAGCATTTGCTTTATATGTCACCTACAATCTATACATATGACCAAACTCTTATTATAAAAGTTTGAAAATCTCATAAGACTGAACCAGATGTCCTTTATAAAAAATACTATGGTGTATTATGCCATGTAACAATAAAAACAGAACTCTGAAATACATTATCACTACATTTAGGTCAAAACACAAGAGACCGCCTTTACGCAGCTACCCTCATTACAGTATTTAATAATACAAATCACGATGCCGAATGTTGCCCATAGTAAGCAAAGCCGCACACCACTGCATAACAAAATACTAATGGTAGTTATAAAAGAAATATTTCAAGCAAAATTTTTAAATATCATGAAATGATTACTGAATATATGTCAAAGTGAAAAGTCACAAAATTAAAATATTTTTAATAAGTGCCAACATCTACCCTGCTTCAGCAACACTTTCAACTGCAAATAAGTTAAATTATCTACAAACAAATATGCTCTTGCCATACCTCTAGCTTCGCTGGTACATAAAATGTTTCTAAACCCCACTTTTTATATGCAAATATAGGACAGGCCTAATAACATGGTGACCCCTAATCAACAAATCCTTAAATGTGACCTTGTGCACTAGAACTCTCAACAATGCTCCTGAACATTAGTTTCAATAGCCCTGCTACAGATAATTCTTACTGAAACAGGGTTTTTCTAGACTCCATAGACCATCTAATACAGGCGTACCCCTAGATTTGACCAGGATGCATTCCTTGAAAAGTTAGTCAAATCTCTGGGATAATTTGTTGAGGTAACAGGTTATAATGGGGTGGATACGTACATTATCAACCAATCATAACAATTATTACCAACTTCACTTGTGTCAAATAAATAAATAACAATTAAGAGTGGTTATAATGCTGAATAGTTAAACAGATGAGTTGGTCAGATCTCAAACAACAGAATCTCGGGAGTCGCCTGTATTGCTCTCTCAAATAGTTATATTCTATAATTACCTACAAAACTATATACGCTTATCTACAGCATTGTTTAATGCAACATAAGAAAAAGTGGATGGGAAATGGGAGACAGGCAAAGAGAGGCAAAATATAAGCAGGAGCAGCAAGTGTGTACCTTTTCGCCACACACCGCTGCGGTGGTGTCACACTGTAAAACAACAACATGACAGTGACCACCTCATAAATATTTACAGCACAGTCAACTCTTGATTATAAAAGACAACATGTAGTTGGTATGGCATTTCCTTTTGTTTCTAACTGCTACAAGACGTAACAAGTAACAGACTAACCTGGCTTTAGAAAGAAGAGCAATGTTTAGCAGATTTGAAGAATGTTCAGCATTTGTGTAGATTCAAAATCTGACACAAAACAATAAAAACATAAGGAAAAATGTCATTTCCCAGGTTGAATTTTCCACCTGATTCTGAACTAATGATTACATGAAAGATTATTTACGTTATAGTAATATATACATGAAATGATACACAAACCTCTACTTGGCAAAGCAAAGAACACTTTTTTAAAAAAAGTTACGCAATGTTACATAAGGTCTCAGACTTGGCAAGCTCTTGTCAACACAGTAAAATAACCTTCAGGTTCCACATAAGGTGAGAAATTTCAAGACTAGCTCAGTGACTACAAGTTTCTCAAGAATTGCACTCCATGTAGTTAGTTCATTTTGAGGTTCATGTAAAGCTGGGGTTATTGCACATGCACACTTAAGAATTTTTACACCTTCCTCTTTATTTGCAGATAATTGCAAGAATCTGGCATGTAGTTATAAAAGTAGAACATTCAGAACAGGAAGACACATTAAAATATTCTTAAAAGTAGTTAATTTAAAGAAATAATCAAAAGTTAACTGTCCAACTCTGTTCTTAAATTTCCTTCCTCATCACAACCAACCAGGAGTGTTAAATAACAAATAATATACACATAAACCAACACTCTGAAGTGTACAGAAGCACATAATATACAAAGTCCAGGGAATACCAGAATCTCATAATACAGCAGACAAGATTTTTTTTTCCAGATACACGATGTCTGACAATAACATTTTTCTCTCATGGGAATACCAGAATCTCATAATACAGCAAACAAGAATTTTTTTTTCCAGATACAGAATGTCTGACAATAACATTTTTCTCTCACATAAAAACTAATAAAGCTGTCCCACTATATGCCATGTAGGCACTTGAGGGGAGAGGAAATATAGCTCCTACTCATTCTTGACCTCAGCACTAAATGCGGGTGAGTGGTCATCATTACGCCCTGGCCGTGCTTTACCTCTGAGAAAGGCCCCCGGTACCCACTGGATAGGAGACTGGGTGGGCCCCAGAACTGGTCTGGACGCAGAGGCTAGAGGAAAAATCCTCTGCCCCCCATCGGGGATTGAACCTTGGCCGTCCAGTCTGTAGCCAGTCACTATACTGACTGAGCTTGCAAATCACAAAAAGGGCCAAGTCATAAACAAATTTCTGCACTTGCATGCTTCCTTTCTTACAACTGACAAAAGAAGCTACGATACTGAAGTCTGAAACAAGGTAAATTTTATAAGAACAGAAAAATGTTAAGATATTCTGGTTGACTATTATTATTAAGATTAACTCAGCTGCAGCTGGACCAAGGCCATTCACGACTACCTACTATTTAAATGTTTCTGCACTGATTCTAGATTCAATACAATGCAGAACATATAATTACATACATGAGGAAACTAGATAAATATAAATGAACATTTTCTGTGAACTAAGCTTAAGGATTCCTTTATAATCCAGGTTATAAGGGAGACTACAGCTATGTACACAACAATAAAAGGGCATTTTATTAAATTACATGCAAATTCCCATCCTGGTCTGAGGTGAGGTAGGAACACAGACATGGTGTCTCTTAATATAACCTTACCTTTCTGCTTTGTCTTGTCACGTCCCAGAGACCATGAGCGTCTAAACTGCCCTGACTCAACTGTGGCTTCTGGAGCTGGAGAAGGCAACAATACATCATGCAATAGTTAAAAAGCATGCAACAGCAGGCAAAAACAATGCAAGCTCTTGAAATGCAACATCAAATTAATTATGTACTATCACATACCTATACAAACAATTTACACACACTGTTAACTTTTAAGTTTAAAAATTATGTGTCAGTGTTTCAGGGCCTATTTTCTTGAGGAGCAATATTACAGTGTTTCTGTATATACAGTTTTTCATAATATATAACAATGGCTACATGCATCAACACGTGAAATATCACCTTCAGGCAATTAGTTTTGTACATAAATCTTTCATGCATTTTAAAATTATATATAATTATAAATAATTGTATAGTTGAATCCACATTCTACTTCCTTGTCAAAAGCTACATAAGGGATATATATATAAATATAAAAACATGCAGTATCATCACAACCTATACCAGGTAAAGTCAGCACCAACACATCACCAAAAAAAAACTGATGGAAATAAAATTGTTTTCAAAATTTCTAATTAACTTTGAAATTTAAGTTACAAGTTTTCTTCACACGAAACAATACTATGAATTACATAAACAGAAATATCCAAAGCATGCAACATACTATATTAGTAACAAAAGCAAATTAACCCTACTAACATCAACAATTAGAAACTTTGAAGCCAACAGCAATAATATTATGCACATAATATTGTATGGATTAGGACAAAGCAACTAATGTAACTGCATTTAGATGCATAAAATGAGTG